AATGGTTTGGCCAAGCTGACAAAACAGTGGATTTGGTTTCTTCTGGGTTGTAGTAAAACGTGTATCCCGAGTCTCCCTCACGCTACATAAACCGAGGTTATCAAATTAGCCCTGGCACTAATCAATGAAGAAATGCCATCAAATTGACAACGTTAAACCAAGACATAAGTAGAAGTTTAATCAGAAAGAGATTCAGTGCTATCTTTTTGTTTTGGAAACTCAAGTCTACCTTGAACAGTAATGCTATCGTTTTTGCGCATTCTGTTAACAATTCAGTGTTGTTCACGAGAACTGCGACTGGTTTCAAAGATGCCACTTACAATTCACAGCAAGATACTACAATCATAGTCTCTTGTTTATAACATGTGCTATTGCCATCAGCCTTTTGCGTCATGATCGTTTGTTCTTCAATAAATGGATATAAACGTTTGCACTCTTTGGGCCACAGTGGCCCATATCACTAGAATTAACCTCTCTAGGTGTAAGGCTATCCTATCCAGTATTCCATCAGGTCGTTCAGATTTGGCCGCAACCTATTTATACTCTTAAGTGGAGAGAGTATCTTACCCGTCAACGAGAGTTCGATGGTTGCTTTTAAGTAGAACTTGTAATCTGAAACCAAGATTGCTGAAACTCACCAGTGATAAAACAGGCCGTGCTGAATCTGCGGGGTTTTCTGGTCAGAGCCGTTCAGCGGTTTAATCTATTCAGTCAATCCGATCCCGGAACGAGCATTAGCCAATTTGAAAACAACAACAACAACAACAACAACGACAACCAAATTATAGTGATTTTGTTTTATTAAAAAGTATTATACTTGTAAACTGAAAATAGTGTCGCAAGTACGTGTTATTGTGAGGTACGCATGTTCAAGTAGTTTCAAAATGGGACAGAGCGCAGCGTTAGGCCGATTTGAAATTAGCAGCATGATTTCTCTCTGAATTGTACGACACGAGATCAAATTAGTTATCAGTCGTATCAATACTAAATTTCGAGATTGAGGCCCAGTCCACACTACGCCGGAGAAATTTGAAAACGCATCTTTTTTTTTCTACGGATAGGTCCATCGTCCGTCACAAAAGCGGAGGTTTTCGAAAACGCTCTTCAAACTGGAGGAATTTGGAAAACGCAGCTTTATTTCTACGGTTAGGCCTTCCGTCCACACTAATCGTGACCGAAAACAGAGCTTTTTCTAAAACGCCCTTTAAACCGGAGGAATTTCAAAAAGCCGGCTTTGAGTTTTAATGTGGAGGAAGACATTTTGAAAACGGAGCCGTTTAGACAACAATGACGTCCTGATAGAATGTGACTAGACCTAATCGTTAATGGTGCACTCAAGCTTTTCTGCCGCCTGTGGTTGTTGCGTTTTCAAATTTCTCCGGCTTAGTGTGGACGGAAAACATTTGATGCTATTTCGGAGTGAAAACGCCGTTTTCAAATTTCTCCGGTGTAGCGTGGGTGGAGCGTAAGTGCACTTTTGTCTTGTTGATAGATGTTGTTTATGCTTCTGCACCATGTGTCGTAGTTAGAGAGCTTGCTCGTTTCTTTGTTTTCCTGAAGTTTCACCCATTGTACAACTCAACATTTTCCCAGGAAGATTTTTGTTTCTTTCTCAGTAATTTTGCTGTTGAGCCACGGCGCCTTTTATTTTCCTTTGTCAAGAACGGAAATTAATACTTCCGAAGCTAAAAAATAAAGGAAATTGATTTATTCTGTTGTCAAAATATTTAGTAGTGAGCGGAAATTTCGCTCTCTACCAATCTTACATCGTGATATTGTCGGGTCACCACGCAACATTTTTTTTTAAATTTTAATAACTGTAACTTGAAATTCCCAAATTATTGTGCGATAATGGAGCATCTAGTTACCCATTAGACAGTGTCCCATTTTCACGTGTTATAAAACTTGATTTTCGACTGGAAATACAGGTGTATGTCG